ATATTTACGTAATAAGCTTTATCAATTTATGCATATTCATCTTAATGATAAACACGCTTGACTAATTTAAACTATTTCCCGCTAAATAAATTTTATTTCCCGACCCATTGATTAAGGCGCTTGAGAACACCCAAAATTGAAGAGATCTCAAATCATATGTAGATTGGGTTTTGATTTTGTTACTCAAAAAAAAAATATGTCGCCAATTATGTTTTCTGTCTTCTATGTCTTCTTCTTTACTTGGTCCTGTTGCAAGGCTATCTGTATTACGTATTTTCAGACAAACTGCCTTTTTTTCGTCTACTACTACATTATTTGATAAATACCTTGAAAATTCGCGAATGATAGCCAACGATAAACTTGGGAAACGAGGGTTTCCTACCGATCTTAGCACTACTGTATCTAGTTTCGATCTAAATGATTTACAGTTATTAAGAGTGACCTATCAACCAACCCATTCAAAAATGACATCCTTCCTAATGTAGATGGTACGAACTACAAAAAAATCCTTTCACTGAGCCTAATGTTTACAATTTGATTATTGTTTAGGCGTTAGCTTTCCGGGGGGATACATTCTTCCAAATATCAGTGAGAAGGAACTCTTAGACAAAAAATTTAATATCAGAAACTTTAAAGGAATTTCAGACCAGGTCCAAGCATTCTTAATTGACCTACACAAGAATTTACATTTCGATGAAGGTACGGAGGTCTCTGAAACAGATGCGCTGGTAAATAATCTGTTGGTTCAAATTGTTGGTTTGCATCGTTATCCATTGAAAGTAAGGTAATCAATTAAGTTATATCTTTTGTTTATGATTTAATAATTTTTATTATATCTAAATTTAGATGGCATCCACGATGCAGATTGTATATCGCAAGTGAAGCTTATATGACAGCAAAATCTGAATTCATTATTAACAATATTAACAAAGAGAATTTTTCTTTGATTGTGGTAGAGGTCTGTGCTTTAATTGGTTGGAAGCCTTTATTTTTGTAGACTCAAATAATTATTTTTTAACAGGATAAGCATATAAGCAGTAAAAATCTTATCCCTTCAA